ATACCTATCGATTCGAGTTTCCAAAATCGACTGACCATTTCACATAAATCGTTGTGGTGTGCTGGATTTGCCATATCATTATTTTCGACAGAGACGAGGCTACAGTCGTTGTATCTCGTATCGAGGGCTTTGTTCAGGATGATGTCGCCGATCGTAGTGTGAAGGAGGCGATGCCCTTCGGACAAGTTCTTGTAGTAGAAATTGTGTGAGAGTATGAGGTCCCAGAAGTAATCATTTCCAATCAGTATCGATGGGTTACAAGAACTTACGGATAAGTCGCTGTCGGGTACAATTTGTGCTACATCTTCAACCACGAAGGGAGTAGATTTCACCGTCAAACATTTGGCACCATTCTCGGTTTCTATCCCCACTCTGTAAACCGAGCATTTCATTCTTCGTGGCGTCCTTTCTCCAAAGGTCGAAACAGTAACTGTCTCGGTTGTGACATCAGGTAGATCAAGAATACTCGCCAGTTCATCCGTGATATAGGAAATGCTAGAACCAGACTCAAGAAAAGCTGTTACGGTGACATGATGCGATGAATCATCAGGACTGAACAGTTTGACGTCGGCACACATCAAGGGAATCGGTCGGTTGGAGGTTTCATTCGACATAAAGGTGATGTTGGTTGAAGTGTCTTCTGAGGAAGTTGTGGGTACCTTCGATTGTTCTGTTTCTGAAGATAGTTGATTGTCAATGATTGCAGAGTGAGCGAGGTCGAAGTGGACAGTGCGATTATGACGTCTTGATGGAGAAGTGCGAGGAGAATATTGCTTGCCATGTTGAATTTCTGGACGAGGAGTTGAATGTTAGGATACTTTCTCCCGCGATGGGTGTCTTGACGCGAAGTGGATTGTGTTGGACGGGAAGGGGATTGTGACCTCGAGGATGTGCAAAGCGAAGTATGATGTTTCCTCGCGCATATCCTGCAACGAAATTTCGACGGACAATCTCTCGTGTTGTGATGAGGAGAAAGACAATTATAACAAAGCCGTCGTTTTCGTGCTTCTTCAGAACGTTGTTGAGGGGTAGCGTATTTCGTGCAGTTCAGAGGCGAATGATTGCTAGAATTGCAAAATGAGCAATTTTGCGGATGCCTTGTGCCAGTGGGCTTGAGACGAGTAGATTGAGACTGCTTGTTGACTACATATGCTCCTTGATGAAAGCTTGGATATTGTTGCTTCGAGTGAAAATCCATTTCAGAAAGAGTGGATTCTTTGCGTACTATGTTCGTGAGTAGGTGCAGAAGGAACGCCCATAATCGGCCGCGGAACTGGGGTGGAAAC